GAGAATTTGAATGCGGTGATCACCGACTTGAATTCCCCGGTTATAGTGGGTGGTGATTTTAATATTGTTAGAGCAGAATATGAAAGAGTAGGGGTTTGTGATCAACAGGTAGTCATGAATATGTTTGAGGAATTTATCTCTACTTGGGATCTTGTTGAAGTTCCAAATGTCGGAAGTCATTTTACTTGGTTCAGGGGTGGTATGAATGTGGCGGTGAGTAGGTTTGACATGTTCTTTCTCTCTACAGAAATAATAAGTTTGTTCCTCCTTCTTACACAAACCACTTTACCTAGAAGCTTATCCGATCATAGGCCTATTATTTTAAAAGAAAATAAGGCTAAAAAGTTTAATCGAATGTTTAAGTGGTTTAATCATTGGGCAGATGATTCGGAGCTTGTTGGAAAAATTAAGGAATTATGTGAAGGGAATAAAGGAAAGAGACTGAATCAGATTCTAGAATTGGTAAAGGAGGCGACCAAGGTTCAAGAAAGAGTAGCCAATCAGAAGTTTCCTCATTCGGTGGGAGAAATTGATAGGTAGATCGATATTTTAGAGAACAGAGTTATTGTTGAGGGTAATAACATTGTAATTCATAATGAGTTATATTCTTTGAAGGCAAGGTTGTGGGCTGTGGTGAGGAAAAAAGAACGTGAGTGGCTGCAAAAATCTAAATTGAAATGGTTTAAAGAATGTGACAAAAATATGAGATTTTCCACCTATCGACTATTGCTCGAGGTAGAATTAATATGATATCTAAAATTAAGATCTCGAATTTGGTGGTCAAAAGTCAGGTTGGAATGCAGAATGCTTTTGTTAAGTAATTTCGTTCCGGATATATTGAAGTGTCTACTGTCCCTCTTAAAAGATTCGGAATACCTCTGAAGAGGTTGAAATCTGCCTCTAGGCGTTTTATTGAGCGACCATTTTCGGAGGAAGAGGTTTGGTTATCTATTAAGGGGTTGATGGGTCGAGAGCCCCGGGGCCGGATGGGTTCAATATGGATTTTTTTAAGAGGTTTTGGGGGTTTATAAAAGGGGAAGTCATGGCATTTATGCATAATTTTTATTGGGGCAGAGTTCAAGACTTATCTTTTAATAAGTCTTTTATTCATCTCATTCTGAAGAAGGTAGAGGCTATGTATCCGAAGGATTTCAGACCGATTTCATTGGTGGGAAGTTTGTATAAGATAGTATCTAGAGTTTTAGCCAATAGGTTGAGTTCTTGCGCCTCTGAGGTGATCGATGAGAATCAATTCGCTTTTATGGCCTGTAAACAAATATCATACTGTATTTTAATATCAAATGAGGTGATTGATGGGCTGTTAAAGAGTAAGAAAGGAGCAGCTTTGATTAAGGCAGATTTTAGTAAAGCGTATGATAGTGTTGATTGGGGTTTTTTGGATTTGATCCTTAAGAAAATGGGTTTTGGTAGGAGATGGAGGAGCTGGGTAAAAATATGTATTTCGACTCATTTGATTTCAGTGTTAGTAAATGGGTGCCCGTCAAATTATTTCTCAATCATGAAGGGGCTTAGGCAAGGTTGTCCGTTATCGCCTTTCCTATTTAATATCGTAGGGGAGGATCTTAGTGCTATGTTTAAGAGGTATATTGATATTGGTCTTTGTGGAGGAGTTAAAATGGGGGATGGTGGTTATGTTTTATCTCATATTCAATTCGCGGATGACCTTCTCATTTTTATTGAAGCTAAAGAGTCGTCAATTTTAAACTTTAATCGTGTTCTCAAAATCTTTGAAGTTACGGCTAGTTTGAAATTAAACATGAAAAAGACAAAGATGTATGGGATTAATGTGGAGAAGAGTATTATGAAGAGATGGGCTGATTCGATTTATTGTGGTGTGGCAGACCTTCTTTCAAAGTATTTGGGTATGCCACTTGGTCAGAAGAAAAATTCGAAGAATCTTTGGCAACCAGTATTGGATAAAATCATGAATCGATTGCAAAGCTTGTAAGGTAAATTTTTATCTTTTGCTGGTAGAGTAACTTTGATAAAAATCAATTTTGGTTAATCTCCCTGTGTATTACATGTCAATATTTCCTATCCTTGTATCAATTGTCGAGCAGATTAATAAGTGTATGGCTAATTTTCTGTGGAAGTCTCAATCGGATAGGAGCATTCACTGGGTTAAATGGAATAACATTTGTAGTCTAAAATCACATGGTGGATTGGGTTTTTTATGTTAAAATAAGGAATCGTGCCTTGCTAAATAAGTGGATTTGGAGATTTGGTGTTTAAGTTGATAGCTTATAGAGGAAAATTATTATTGCTAAGTATAAATATGATTTTTATTCCATTATTCTGAGGGCAGTCAATCACAGAAATTCCTATTGGATTTGGCGAAGCATTGTTAACCCGGGTAGTTCTCTTGAGGTGGATCTGGAAATAAAATTGAATTTTAGACTGATTATTGGACTGATCAGGTTTCGCTTCAAGATGCTTTCCCGAGAATTTATGCGATCACGGTAAGAAAGCTCGGTAAGATAAGTGAGTTTGGAAGATAGGAAAAGGATTGAGCTGAGAAGACCCCTGTTCGAATGGGAAAAATCAATGTAGTCGAATTTCATCCAAGTAATGAACAAAGCTGTGAGTGATAGTCAAGGAGTTGAAAAATTGAAATGGTTGGGTGCGGACGATGGGAAGTATACTCCCAAAGCGTATTGCTTAAAGTTGGCATGCGGTAGAATGATGAAAGACCATATTTGGAAATTGGTATGGTTCAAATGGGCTCCTCCTAAAGTAGCAACATTTGTGTGGAGAGTTGTGCATCAAAGAATTTCAGTCATTGTAGAACTGGAAAAAAAGAGGTGTTAAGAATCTCGATCAGCTGAGATGTTTTTTCTGTAATCAAGAATTGGAATCGATAAATCATGTTTTATGTATATGTGGGGTTGTTTGGAAAGTATGGCAACGATGGTGTAGAGTGTGTAAAGTGAATTTAGTGATCCCCATTAATGTAAAACAACTATTAGAAGTTTGGTTCACTCAAAGAGTCAGGAAAAAACTTTGGTTTCTGTGGCAATTTGGTTTCTTTGGACTGATTTGGGTCATTTGGCGATGCAGAAATAGATCCAGACTCCATGGAACTATGTTCTCAATGGAGCAAATTTTTACTAAAGTTTTAATTCAGGTGGGGGTATGGGCGAGCTTCCTTTGGCCGTCGTTAATTCCCTATGTGCAAGACTTTGTTCGGAGCCCGGAATCTTTTGTTAGTATTTGATGTTTATGTAGTTGTGTGGTCTGAATTTCCTGATTGTCATATGTAAAGTTTGGCATTTGCAGAATTGAATTATGGTCTGTTAGGTGTATTGGTATTGCTATGGGTTGTCTTGTTACTATCTTTGTATGCAGGTCTGAGAAGAGTGTATGGGCAGGGGTAGGGGTTTTGCGGCTTGAGGTGTACATTTAGGTGTCCGTGGTTTTTGTGTTTGTATATGGTGTATTGGTTGATCGAGTTTGTATCGTTTGTTCTACCTCAAGGTTCACTCTTTTTCCTTCAAATGGGTATAGGGAGGTTTTTTAATGAGGTTCTTGGGATAGTGTACTTTGTAATTTTCGGTTAATACAAAGTGCCCCTTTAAAAAAAACAATTTGTGAACAGATTAAGTCATATTTAAATTTTGATTTAAATTATCTTGATTCAAATTTGAGTTTGGCTTAAAATTTGAACAAATCAAGACGAGTAAGATTCAATTCGAATCGATACGTTTACGAGCAACTCATTAATTTCTTATAATATTTCATCACGGTAATTGTCTTACTTTTAGGATTGATTATATATTTTTTAACTTTTTAAATAATTGTTGTAATACGTTAAATTGTTATTTTAGTTGAAACATGTTAGACATTTAGTATGGCATATTTGTGGATTATTATTTTAGAGTTTAAAATTTTCAAATTGTTTCACATATTATTTTAATCATTTTTGTTAAATTTATTAATTTATGTTTATATAAAGCTTTATCTAGTATTATTAGATTTTACAAATATTTTTTTAAAAAAAATAGGCTGATTTGCTGTTGTAGAATTTTGAAAAAAATTATTTATTGAAATAAGGTCTAACTGAAATTATTTGCTGAGATAGGGTAAAATCTACAGTTCGAACATATGTCGTAATGCCGTCCCTGCGAGCTGTGGTGAGCTGCTTCATTACCTATATCGGTAATTAGGCATCTCGCCAGTTTGGTCGTCGGGATCACATGGCGACCTATAAGGTCGGCATACATGGCGACCTCCATTTCAACGTAGTTAAAAAGCCTAATTACCGATGTAGATAATCGTTGTTACTTAGGGAAATTTAGTGAAAGCCTAATTACCGATGTAGGTAATATTTGTTACTTAGAAAAATTTAGGTAATCGTTGTTCGGAGCACATGACGACCAACATAGGTCATTTGGAAGACATGACGACCTATGAAAAACTGTAGCATTCGCCCCAGATGGGCAAATAATCCTTCGACTGCATCATCTGAGCAAATATTTTTCAACACATTATTCCAAAAATTTTGCCTAAAAAATAAGATAAAAATCTAGTGAGTTTAACGAGCAACGAGTCGAACAACAATTTTTTTAATAAGCATGAGTCGAATAAAATTTTATCAAACTTTCTGAGTAATAAATTGAGTCGAACACGAGTCAAATAATTTTTAAATCGAATCAATCAATGCTTAACTCGTGATCGAGTCGCTTGATAATCATTGATTCATGAGGCGTACCAAACGGTCTTGTATTTCTTTCACACCAAATGATGAGGTAGGCAGGCTGGCCTTTTAAGCAATTTTGAGGATACTTACCCTTCAACTTCGTAATAGCCCTTGCCGTCAGGTACCAACGTGACTACAAATACCTTGTCTGCTAGTTATCAGTACTTTCTACGTACAAATTTGTATCCAATGAATATGGAACGATACCTTCTGCCCACATTTCAGAAACCCTTTATGCCCTCAAACATCACTCTCTAAACAAATAAACGACGATATACCACTATTCAGTTCAATAAAAATACGTACATACTTGGTACAAAGAAAGTTATCATTATACATTTATACTGTAGCTCGCTGTTTACGTCCTATACGTACATACTATAGTTTGAGAGAAATGAAAGTGCAAATGCAGCATGAACTGCTGCCCCAATCGGAAACACATCCTCATCGATGGTGAAATAAGGACTGTGTAGAGGATGTACGGCCCCGACTTTCTCATTGTGGATGCCTAGGAAGAGGAATGATCCTGGGACCTTGTTTAGGTAGAAAGCGAAGTCTTCGCTCCCCATAAAAGTAGGAGCTAGCTTTGTGTTTTCTTCTCCTACAATCTCCCTCGACACTCGCATTACGTGTTCGTATACGTTTTCATCGTTGACGGTCGGAGGAACCGTTGGGTTATCCTTTCCTGAGAAATCGATAACAGTGGAGCACCTATGTACGGCTGCCTGAGCTTTGATTACCTGGTGACAAGAAGTGGGATACATATACTTCCATGAATATGTACATGAAAAATCATAATACATCATTATGCTATTATTATACTTTCGACCCCTCCTCCGAAAATTAGATATTTTATTTTGTTAAAAGCCACTAACTACTTCTCAAATCAACTACAATATGTCAACAAAATTCTTAGATAAAACTTTTGATAAGTCTGAATAACCCGTCGATACAAAATTTAAAGATCTAATCATCAGATCTGTAATAGTTTGTCTGTCTACGAATAATCAAGATTATGTTATTGCTATATATTTGGAGACTTCTCTAGAGATCATATATCTCCTTCAATCATGAGTCACTAACAATCTCTCAAATCAAATACAGCGTGCAAATAAGACTAAAAATAAAATTACTGACAAACCTGAATAATCTTCAGGTGTGAAATTCAAAGATCTGACCACTAGATCTATTTAGCTCGTGAGTTTACGAAAAGTCATAATTACTCTCACCATATATATATATATATATATATATATATAGTATCTACCACTATTAATTTCCCTCAATTATGAGAGTTTATCTTTTCCTCATATCTTCTTTCCTCTCAACGTCCTTCTCTCCAATACTGAAACACCAGTTCATGACTATTCTCTAACCGACTGCGGTTCTTTATCCAAATTAGAGGGTTGATCCTTCAACTACAACGAGCCAAATTTGTTCCTCAACATTTATGTTTTCTCGTGCTGTTTCCCTAATTAAAGATTGGAAGCAAATTGATAATTCAAATTCCATTTGTGATTAATGTAGTTTGTGATCACCTCTTCTATTCTGTCCCTAAGTGCGTTGAATCTCTTCGTACTGAAAGCTCGGAAGGTTCCTGCTATTGTTGTTGAGTCTGGGATTACATTGACTGCAGTTCCACCATGAATCATGGATACTGAGACTACCTGCAGCATGCAATACTCTTGATAACTGATGCACTATTACATATAAAATCCATTGTCTGAAAATACGTAGAAATAAGTAAACCTGAGAATCTAAAGGATCAGTTTCCCTCGAAACTATGTTTTGTAAACTTATTATCGCCGTCGAAGCTGCCAAAATCGGATCAATGGCGTGTTGGGGAATCGCAGCATGACCTCCTTTACCTGTAATCGTGGCTTTAAAGCTCCCACAACCTGCTAGGAATTCTTTGGCTCTTGTGGCGACCACACCAGAAGGATATGCATGCACCAAATGTAACCCGAAAATGGCTTCCACGTTCTCAAGAACAACCTCTTTTATCATGTCTTTGGCTCCTGCACCTCGTTCCTCAGCTGGTTGAAATATTAGAACTACAGTTCCCTATATAAAAAAAAATTAAATTTTAGTTCATATTGGAGTTGGGGCATAATTTATACATGCTTGACCTGCAACTGGCATCGAAGTTTCTGCAGTATCTTGGCTGCTCCAAGCAGCATGGCAACATGGGCATCGTGTGCACAAGCATGCATTTTGCCATCTACTTTGCTTTTATGCTCCCATTCCACCAATTCCTGCATGTCACTCGAATTAATTCCTTAAACTAGATTAGTTCCTTCTTTCATTTCTTTAATTTTCTATTTGATTTGATCTATAAAAGCAGAAAACCACAAGCTACAAATTTGTTTCTGTTTCTTCTTTTTTCGATATATGGCAAACTGAATCTTAAAGGAAAAAAAAGCAGACCCGAATAGGTAAAGCATCCATATCGGCTCTGAGAGCAGCGAAGGGTGGAGAACCGGAACCAATTTCAGCGACGACACCGGTTATAGCCACTGGCCAGCGATAAGAAACGCCGAGTAGATCAAGTTCGTGCCTAATGAGCTTACTGGTCTCAACTTCTTCATAAGCAAGTTCAGGGTACTCGTGTATTCTCCTCCTTATTCGCTTCATCCAATCCACTGTTTCTCGATCATTTGCGAGGCTAAGTATCCGGTCTTTGATGGATTCGTCCGGACGAGCTGGTGTTGTTGTTGAACGGAAACAACAATCATCTTCGTTGCTAGAGAAGCAGAGGGAAGATAGGGTTACGAAGATTAAGAAGAACTGTTGAAGAGTGTCCCGCAAGGCCTTCATGGCCATGGCCGAGTCTAAATTTGCTTGGATTTGATTCAGCCAGTAGGATATAAAACTGGGTGGGTGGTTAACACTAGTAGTAAACTTTTGTCAGGCCAATCAGAACAGTAATAATTCATTAGATTTTATTTTTTAAAAATTCAATTTATTATTTATTGGTTAAAATATGTTCCAAATACTTGTACTCTTCATATATTTAAAACTTAGTCCCTCTACTTTTATTTCCAAAAATTTAGTCAATGTCAATGGCAGATCGACTTTATGTTTAGGATAGGCACTAAACTAATTGTGTTCATCATACATTTTGTATTGTTAATATATGTATATTCATTCTAAAAAAAAATTCTAAATCAACTAGTAGTCTGTGTGCTTTTCAGATTTAATAAAAGAATGTCACTGATGTTTTTGATTGAATATGAATTTTAAAATTTTAAAAATAGAGAATTATATTTTTAAAAATAAAAGTATGAGGACTAAAATCTATACCAAGAAAGAGTACATTGATATGGAGTATATTTTAACCTTATTTGCTTGATGCAGTGGGCAAATATCACTCATTGATCAATATAAATTATATATCTCATGTTCCACGTTTTCTATTTCCACAAATTCCTCGATTAGTATTAGATTCCCTTTGTCTCCCCTGTTACCAATGAAAATCATATGGATGGTATTGGGAAGGAAAGAAATGATAAAATTTTAATTAAACACATCATACGAGTACATAAATTATTTTATGCCAATATACAAGTAGTATTCTAGTCGGAAAAAAGAAGACAGAATCATACAATAACAATGGGCTGTTGTCATCTTCGATATGCTGTTGAAATGGTTAAACCATCTTCACTTCATCATCAAAATATTATGGTGCACTCTCTTACTTGGCTGCATGTATGTTGAACCACACCAAAATTTTAGAGAGTTTTTAGACCCCAGAAGTTCCCGACTTCTTTGTAACCTGATAAGACGATCGACAGGATGGGATTTAAGCAATCGTTAATCGTTGATTGATCATTCGAATTGGAGGGATTCTTCCTAGAAAACAAAATACCATACTTTACCTGTTCAGCATGGCTTTCTCTTGTCTACTTTTAAGTTTATATTATACCATTTCTTCTTCTTAGTTCTATCCCTCGTCGAATGTTTCCTGTCTCTTGCTTCACCATCTTCTTTGGCCTCTTTGGAGGCAGCCTTACTCTTGTTCCTACTTGAACTTCGCTTAATTAACGGAATAGTTGTGTACGAGGCATGAATCTCATTCCTTTGTTTGAGAAGCTCGTTGATCTGCAAAACCGTCATGTAGGATGTTTTTCCATAAATTTATCCATTTAGTCGTAAATTCATTTTTCGAGGAGCTTAGGCACATAATCCCCACGTATTAATCTCACCTCTTGCATTTCCTTTGTGTATCTGCTTGTCATCTCAGTAAACTGTGCCAGGACCTGCCAGCACCTTACATGAATATCAACGATAAAGAAACGGTTTAATACAGGCATGAACATTGTATGTGCGAAAGTAAATACTTCTCTGTATTCGGTTTCAAACTTCGACAGCTCCGCTCGTTTGGACAGAATCTCTGCTTCCACTGCTCTAAGATTCTCCTTTTCCTCTATGAAAGGGGCAGCACAAATGGCTTCTATTGTGTAACTTACACTTTTGAAAAAGTTGTCACCTTTAAGTTACGTGCCAGAATTATTAAAATGGTAGTGAGCTTCATCGATGCATATAAATCAACAGGCACGAGACCTCCACGACGCGTATAAATTAAAGAGCTAACCATAAACAGCAAATACATGTGTGCCTGGTTTTAATTCAGTTATTTCACATGGTTGAAATCCATCCAGCTTTTTGAAGAAAGCTGCATTCGGATCCTTTGCAGCAGATACCTACAGCGAAGCATTTCCAAAACCAGAAGAAAAACGACAAAATCAGACTTCAGTTTCATTGAGAAGCACAACCATGAGATATCCGTTAATGATAACTCACCGAGTTTACTGTTTGATCCAAGCAATAGACAGGGAAGCCAAGAAAATACATTCCAGCAGATGTAACTTTTCCTGTTTTGGCACTGTCCCCCTACACCAACAAGAAACAAAAGTAGCTTTAACATGTGCAGTGAAGTAACACGAGGCTTACGATTGTAGAAAAGTGTTAACTGTTTTTAAATATTGTTACACATTCTGTTAGTTTGTTAGATGTTAGTTATTGAGTTAGTTACAGGAATTTGTTTATATAAAGGACCTATTTGTTGTATTTGAAAGTATGAGGAATAAAATATAATTCTGCCCAGACTTCATTTTAACATGGTATCAGTTTAGCCCAGGTTATTCTTGGGTCGTCCTCACTCTTCCCGTGTTTTTTCCTTCCACCCACAATCCTCTCCTCTTGATTAGGTTTTGCTCTCTGTGATTTCTCTTGACGAGATGAATACCCATGACACCACCGCCGTTCTTGATTTCAGCCATCCCTTGTTTCTACACCCGTCTTATACACCTGGAGGCGTTCTCGTTTCTCATCGCCTGGTTGGCATTGACAATTACAACTTATGGAGCCGCTCTATGAGGATTGCGTTGCTGGCGAAAAACAAATTAGGTTTTGTTGATGGCACCTGCTGAAAAGAGGACTACGATGAGTTCTTGCACTCTCAGTGGGAACGCTGTAATGCGTTCGTCCTTTCCTGGATTCTCAACACGGTCAGCAGTGATCTCTCGGCTGGAATCGTGTTTCCTTCAAGCGCTGCTCATGTCTGGACAGATTTGAAAGAACGTTTTGACAAGGTAGATGGATCCAGAATTTTCTTCTTGCATCGTGAAATTGCCACTCTAAGCCAAGGTGATTCTACTGTTTCAGCTTATTTTACACGATTAAAACTTTTGTGGGATGAATATCATGCCCTAGTCCCTCTTTCGGCCTGTAATTGTGAAGTTTCTCAACAAAATTCCAAGCATATTGCACAGCAAAAGCTGTTGCAATTCCTTATGGGTCTCAATGATACCTACTCTGCTATTCGCAGTCAAGTCCTCATTATGCAGCCTCTGCCAAGCGTGAATCAAGCATACTCTATGATTGTGCAAGAAGAGGCACAACGAGCTCAGTTGTCTCTTGTTTCGGGAGTCACGGCTATGTACTCCAATACGCATGCTAATTCTGATCGAAGGCGTTTCACTGGTGTTTGTGACTTCTGCAAAGTCAAAGGCCACAAACGTGACAACTACTATCGCTTAATTGGGTTTCCTCCTGATTTCAAGTTCACAAAAAAGAAGAATCCTCAGGCAGCTCTTGCTACCAATCTCTCGTTACCTGAATCTGATCATGATTCACAATCTGGTGGTTTCAGTACAGTTCAGTCTGATCCAGTCTTCACAACAGCCCAGTATCACCAAATACTTGAGCTCTTAAATAAACCTCCATCTGTTGATGCTGTTGTCAATCTCGCAGGTATCACTTCTAAATGCTTACCTGCTTCTGATAATTCCCTTTGTTGGATCCTTGATACAGGGGCTACTGACCATATGGTGTCTGATATCCATTGTTTACAGTCTCTTAATTCGTGTAAGCCTAGTTCTGTCCATTTGCCTACTGGTAAAACAGTTCCCATTACCCATACTGGTAACTTTCAGTTTAACTCAACTGATGTCATTCGAAATGTTCTGTATGTTCCTGATTTCAATCATAATCTACTGTCAGTGTCAAAATTAACCAAAGACCTCAATTGCAGTATCATATTTTACCCTCGTTTTTATGTTTTGCAGGATCTCTTCACTGGGAAGATGAGGGGGATTGGTAGGCAGGCTCATGGTCTCTACATGTTTAATTCCAAGGACCTTGTTTCTGGTTTGTCATCCACACATTTTAGTTTTGATTTGTCACCATCAAAATGCAAGGTTGATTCTAGTTGTATGACTGTTTCTTCTTCTAATAATACAATGCTTTGGCATGCACGTTTAGGGCATGCCACTTCTATCAAAATGCATAAGACTCCTTTTTTGAGTTCTCTTTCTTTGAATGAAAACACTGTTAAACAATGTTCTGTGTGTCCTCTTGCAAAACAGTCAAGATTGCCTTTTCCTATTAGCTCATCTAGTCACTTAAACCCTTTGATTTGATTCATGTTGACTTGTGGGGCCCCTATAGAATTTCAACACATAGTGGTCATAGATCCTTTTTAACTATTGTAGATTCTTGGCTCCTTCAAAGAGCCTGCTGGTCCGGGGCCCCCAACTTTAATGGAATTGAAGGCTATCCTAAAGGGTTTAGATTTTTTTGAATCTATTCGTCATAGGGTTAAAGATAGATTGATTATTGAGAGTGATAGTCAGGTGGCAGTTGGCTGGATTAAGGATGTGGTTTCTTGTCCTGTTGTTTATGTTCAAATAGTTAAAGACATTATTCAAAAGCTTAGTGTTTTTGAAGGTTTTATTAGTTGGGTTAGTAGGACAGCCAATATAGAGGCGGATGTCCTAGCTAAGGCGGGTATTGGTTGATTTATGCTCTGTTAAGGGCTGTTTCTTTCTGGTTTTGTATCTCTTGAGGGAGATTGATTTGTATTACTTTGCTATATTTGAGTTTAATGAATCCTAGGGCACTCCTTTCCTCCTTGTGTGGATTAAGGAACTACTTTTAAGTTCCGTTAATCACCAAGGGGGTTTTATTGAGGGCTTTTATTCCTATCAAAAAATGATCATACTAGGCTATCTTGGGTTTACCTGTTGAAACTTAAGAGTGATGCTTTTTTATTTCTTAAACAATTCTTTGCGCTTGTTCAAAATCACCATTATACTTCAGTTAAGTATATTCGTAGTGATAATGGTGGTGAGTTTTTTAGTGATCATTGTTCTGAGCTTTTCTCTTCACTTGGCATTATTCACCAAAGCTCTTGTGTTCATACACCCCAACAAAATGGGGTTGCTGACCGCAAACACAAACATTTTTTAGAGGTAGCCCGTGCTCTTCGTTTTCATTCTCATGTGCCCATTAAATTTTGGGGTGAGTGTGTTCTTACTGCCTGGTATATCATTAATAGGCTTCC